GTTGAGGAAAATGAAAAAAAAAACTGAGGGAGGAATGGGCTAGTAATGATTATCGGCCTCTGCCAACATGAATGTTTACAGAAGTGCATTGTTGGGTTTCTGGCGGAATTCAGAACTCTGTATACGATGTGATCTCTGCACTAACGTTTTTATCGGGCCATAAAATCCTCTTCATTGCCCTCTTATTGTTTTGCACCATGCTCGTCGGCTTTGATTCTGATAATTCCTATTCCAACTGTTACATCATCACATCAAGCGAATTGTGCTGGGATGGCCCCGTGGAATTGGATTTAGCTCGACATGATGGCATTAAAAAAAATGTTTTTTGTCTCTTTAGTGTTCAAAACCGCTGTGGTGTTTGTGTACAAAGACTCGTCCAAGCACCGGAAGAAAGTGGTGAGGATGCTTTTTGTTCATTTTCATATCCAAGTGAAGTCCAGTGCCCTCCGGTGACCATATGAATTTACGACCTCCTACCCCCTCCCTACCCCCGCTTCAGAGTACCTCTCACCGATCATCCATGAACGACGAGCGCGATCACTTCCGCTTCCGTCACATGATCGCCACCCACTCACTGCAAGTCCGCGCCCTCGCAAGTACGCCGGCGCCAGGTTACATCATCAAACCCCAAATTGTTTTGCCTGCTAATGGCCCAGCAATTAGTGGGAATATAGATGAACAACTTTAATTAACTATTTATTTTTTTAGGTTAGCAGTTTACATATCTCTGTCTTGTGTGTGTGTGTGTGTGTGTGTGTGTGTCTAGACTCTGAAGGCACGGCCGTGTGTGAAATAGTTCACACCAGGTCGGAATCCGAGGGGCGACCCGAGAGAACATTCCAGTTGTGCTGCAGGTTTGTTCCTATTTTGTTTTCTGTTTTCAGCAAAAAAATTGCTTACATTTTATTCATTGAATTAAAATGAATGTACTCGGTTTTCCCAGCTGTCTTGAACGCCTCCTTAATGAACATCCGCCGTCCCGTCTTCCTTTTTTGTGTTCAGTTCTGCGGAAAGCAAGAAGGATCTGCTGAAGGCGGTGCACTCCATCCTCAGGGAGAAGCAGCGGAGGCAGCTGCTCAAGACCGAATCGCTTCCCCTCAGCCAGCAGTACATCCCCTTTGGGGGCAAGCGGCTCTGCGCCCTCAAGGGGGCGCACAGGCCCGCCGTCAACCGAGCAGGTGATCCTGACACTTTGTTGAAAAATCCTAAGTTCCATCAACCACTGATCTAACTCTCAGCATAAAAACTTGGGAAGTAGCAAATCTATCAAAATAAAATGGCAACAATTCTAAACAAAAATAGGAAAATCATAAGTCCATTTTTCATTAAAAACAAAACAAAACAAAAAAATCTGCTGACTCCTGTTAATCCATTGGCAATGGATCAGAAACAGGAAGTCGCAAAGTAAAAATAAAACCAACCAAGTTACCAAAATAAAACATCTCTCTAAACTTTCTCTCTCCCTGTGTTCAGCTTCGGCTCCACCCCGCTCTCTAGCTCGCAGGAAGTTGCTGCGAAACCGCTTCACCATCAACACGGACCTGGTCTTGGACACGGACCCGGTCTTCAACAACAACAACCACCAGCGGAACTCCGACCCAGCTGCGACGGAACCCGTCGCCCCGTCGGCGCCAACCCGGCACTCGACGGTGCCCTCGGAGCTGTGGCTGGAGCAGCAGTTCGACCTGCGACCGTACGAGGACGACGCCAAGGTGAAGGAGACGGACATTTTGAGCGATGACGACGAGTACTGCAAGTCGCGACGAGGCGCGGGGGCGCCCACGCAGACCGCAGAACTGGACGCCAAGATGGACGCCATGGAGATCCGCGGCGTGCTGAAGGCGTGCGCGGCGCAGCGGGGGCCCGAGCGTGACGCCGTGTGGGTGCGCAGGGACGACTTCGGCTGCAACAGCGACGTCTTCTGACGCCACCGTCTGATCACGACCGACTGGACGCGCCGGCCTGTTTATTAGGTACACCTGCGTCCACGCGAGTGTGCGAATGATACCTTTTCCCCTCTGTGAGGAATACCGATGAGCCCCGTTTTCACTTCAATGCAAGAATCCTATTTTTGAGTTTCACCGTGATTCTCCAATCTACAGAATATGCTGTTGGACTAAGTCGGAACCTTATTTATTTTAAATATATATATTTTTTTGCTTCCAATAATGTTTTCTATGCCTCTCCATTAGTCAAAACGCGGTATTCTGATTAATATTCTTTGTCGAATATAAATGAGGCAGAAAAATCCACCTGTTTTTTCCTCTATCTCAGGGGGCGGCCATTTTGCCTTGTTCTGCCACTTGCTGTTGTCGGAAAATGACATCACGGGCTCAACTTGCCAGTGTCACATGACCAAATCCAGAAAACAGACGAGCCATGACGGTCGTTACCTGAGCCCTTTGACGTCATTTTCAGTCGACAACCAAGTAGCAGCACAAAACAAAATGGCCGCCTCCCTGAGATGGATCGAAATAGGTGGCGTTTGCTGCTCATACAATATGAATCACAATCATGCGTTTCGCCTAGTGGGGTTGCATAGGACATATTCCTGTCAAGAAAATTGACTTGATAACGTTTCCCAGCCCTCAGCCAGTTACAATTCCCAATACTCCGGCAAGAACCCTATTTATTTTGAAGGATAGCTCCAAATCCACCGTTTCCCAGGAAGAACCCTATCGATTGTTTTTTCGCAGTACAAGATGGCCAAAGTCGCTGACATCGAAGCCGATTGTCACCTCAAACTTCCAGAACACACTGTTAGAGCAAGAACTTTTTTTTTAGGATTTTATGGTACACTTAGCCAGCAACAACCCGGTTGGGTTTAGCAATACAAAGATGACCCGGGTAGCTGCGATCCAAATTCAAAGCTTCCAGAGTAGCCAGCAAGAATCCTGCTAGTGTTTAGTGCAACAAGAGAACATATTTTTAGGGCCCTAAAGTCTAATTTTCCACGCAAAACCTTTGAACTTCTCTATTTTTATGACTTGTTTTGTGCCGTTCACTTTTCCCTGCGGTGAGTGACCAGGATGTTTGTATTTATGAGACCCGAATGCTCGCTTTTGATATGACATGTTTGTTAAAAAAAAAAAAAAAGTTAGGACCAACTTTATTGCCTTTCAGCACTCGTTGTTTACAACAGTCTTGCTATATGGTGTTAGCGAACACACATGCTCCTAAACGTCCAGTTGAAATCAGTTTGCTCACACAAAAGCTGCTTAATGTGTCAGATTAGTGTATTCACGGCAGCGGCAATAAAACTTAAAACAGGAAGTGGAAAACTTAGAGGTAACGGCTGAACCAGCCGGGGATATCCAAATGAAAGCTTTGTTACAAAAAGTTGCTGGTCACATTCAACAGCAACAGGAAGGAACAACCTAACAAAATAAAAGCAGTAACCGCTGTGCCATTCACATGATATCCAAATCAGTAATTTCTCGAAATCAGGGACCAAAGTCAGGAAAGACGAGCTAACCAAATAAAAGCAATAGCGGAGCAGTCATTTTGTTAGCGAAAAGTTAGCGGCTGAGAGCCTTCTTGAGCCAAGGCCAAAGGAATGAAAGCAGGAAGGTGACACTCCTCAAAATAAAAGAAACTCATTAGCCAGTGGAATGAGATCAAGTTGATACCTGCCGAAATAAAAACTAACAGCAACTGAAGCGATTAAAAGATTCATTTCAAGTTGTTTCGTTCACTTCATTAGCTTGTGGATCTTCCCTTCTGAAAGTGTCATGAACAAGTTGACAGAGGAACTTGACACCCGCCAAAATCTAAAAGTACATCAAAATGTCACTGATTTGCTGGATCCAATGAACCAAAACAAGTAGCAAGGCTACCAAAATCAAAACAACAGTGCTAAACTTAGCTAAGCAACACTTGCAAGTGAGCTTAGCGTCACTTGACGTTATCTGAATCCCCCCGTTGTGTTGTTGAGGGCAAACTTAACGTGAGTGCCTCACCCTCTATTGCTCATTTAACAGTAATAACTCACATCATCTGAGGCCACGCCCACCTCCAAACCTCAGCTAGGGTCCGAGTTTACTTGAAAGTCATCCGTGCAGTGTCTCCTCTTTTCCACCGGGCGCCACTGTTTCACTGCTTGTTTGCACTCGAGAACAAAATGACACTCCAGTCGCCAACAATGAGCCGCTTTTGCTTGTAGGAGTTTTTTTTGTTTTTGTTTTTTTTTGTACAAACATTTGTGATGCAGTTTCTAGCAGTTGCGCTTTGGGACTGTGAGGCACAATCACGTGTTGTCCCCTTTTGTCTCAACTTTGTACTTTTTGCTACACGACACGAGTATGATCCTTTGTATGACGGCAACAGCAATAAACTTTATACATTTACACTTTTTGTGTGTGCAAGTCCTCTGTATTCTCGCCACATCTTAGAAGTTTATTTTTTGTGTTACTATATGGTAGACAGAATGTATTTATTTGAACTTGAACACAACATTTAAAAACCTAAACTGTACACATTAGGCGGTTATGTGTACCGCCGCCACCACCACCACCACCTTTATTGTCACCTCTTATCAGTGTCGTTCAGGGAACAATTTGTACGTCCACATAAATTGCCATGCACACGCTTCTATCGCTCGGTGACGGTATGTGTGTGGGTGATCCAGTTGTGGTTCTAAAGAGATAATCTGACATCTGGCATGTAACCTGAAGATTATTCTAGCGCATCTGCTTAATCCCAAACACCCAACAGGAGGCAAACCACACAAATTGCGATCACAGGATATTACCTAACTGCTACGGCACTGGAAAAACCTGGTTCATCTGGTCGGCTCAACGCACAGGGACGGGACCCCCGGACCTTCGCTGGAGCACTAACTAACTACCCTGAGTGAAAAGACAAATGTCGTCTTGTACACATGACATTTGAAATGCCATTGTTTCTGATCATCAAGGGGCAAAATTGTGGGGTGCTGAGCGAGAAGCCACTCAATGTTTCATTTGTTAATTATGTTCATCCTTAATACAAAACCTAAAATATTGTCAGTTGTCAGTGAGGGTTCCGTAATTTGTTTTATTTTGAAGGAGCTTTGCGGATGTAGCTCACTTTGTGTTTCGCCAGACTTTCTCTCGCTGATGCCGCTGTGTGAGTCTGTGTTGACTCTTCGCCAATTTGTGGACTTTTCAAGACTTTGTCAGGATTATGTTGGGCCGGGAATTGGGCTGTCAGACATTTAGGTTTTTGGACTATATTCGCGCAGCTTCTTTGGTTGTTTTCAAGTTAACATGGTGAAGGTGGTGGAGGTGACCTGCATCATCATTCTCCTCCTCGGAGGAGAGGAAGATCCTGGAGAGAGTTCCAGATGCTGACTGCACGGCACCGTCACCGTCACCGTGGACACGATGGACCTGCTGGTTTTTGTGGTTCCGGTTCTGTTGCTCCACACGTGGCTTGTCGAGGCTCAGGTTTTGCGCATTGGTGAGCTCAAGACGCACATGCCATTAGGCTTTCGAAACTGCGCGGCCTTCACTACTTTATTATTAAAATTAATCAATACATGTAGAAAATGGAGTATGGGAACATTTTATTTTTAGGGCTGAATTTTTGGTTGTAACTGCTAAATATTTGTACTGTGTCATTCTATGTACGTATTTCAAGTACAGAACGTTTTTTCTCAGAACGGTAAGAACATTGTTTTCATTTAAAATACGTAATTAGTATGTTTGATAAAACACAATGAGCACGTCTTGTGACGTCTTATTGTATTGTGCCTCGACTAATGTATTGAATATACACATTTCATGTAGTTCTTCATGTCAGCAAAGGGGATTATTATTGTATGCTAGTTCGTTTTTGGTCAAGTTCGGATGCTCTCTTTCGCGATACCAGGCGGCATCCTGGAGACGCGCGAGCGTGAGCTGGTCAGTTTGGACGAGTTGGCGTTCAAGTTTGCCGTCAACAACATCAACAGGAACAAGACACTGATGCCCAACGTCACGCTCACCTACGACATTCAACGCATCAACCCCAAAGACGGCTTTGAAGCCTCGCGCAGAGGTCACGACCGCATTTTGTCCTGTTTGATTGTCACATTTGATTTTTACTTTCAGTCACCCCTGAAGTTGAAAGATAATGTATGCACTAATACAGTACTGTGCAGATCTGCTCTCACGTGGCATTGAGCTGAATCAGAGGAAGCTCACTAACATCTCCATAGCCTGCTGACCAACTGACTAACAAACAAACTAACTAACTACCTAGTAGGCTATTTGACTACTATGCAAGCCAGCACACTATTTAGCTTGCTAACGAGTAACGACCTACTTGGAAGGCTTACTGACTAGCTAGCCAACTAACATCTTGGAAATGTTGCTCGCTAGCTAACCAACTAATCAACAAACAATAAACAATCAGTGGAAGTTATTGTTATTGTGACTTGGACTGTACCATTCACGGCATCCATTTTTCTTTGGCTCATGATAGCAACTAAACATCTCCCAAGTTATCTAACTAACTTGTCCCTTGGTCTAGTGTGCGACCAACTGTCCCTGGGCGTGGTGGCCGTGTTCGGTCCGTCCCACAGCTCTTCCGTCAGCGCCGTTCAGTCCATCTGCAACGCTCTGGAGGTTCCGCACATCCAGACGCGGTGGAAGCACCCATCGGTGGACAACCGGGACACCTTTTTCATCAACCTGTACCCCGAGTACAGAGCGGTTGCCAGGGCTGTGCTGGATGTGGTCACTTTCTTCAAGTGGAAGAAGCTCACCGTCGTCTACCAGGACAGCACCGGTACGTCATGACTATTTTACTAACAAATCAACAGAAACTGGACTGCGCCATGGTGCATACAACGACCTGGCGCCCCGTTAGTGCTTTTGTTTGTTCTTTAGGTCTGATGCGCATGCAGGAGTTGATCAAGGCTCCCGCCAAGCTGAACCTGAAGATGAAAATCCGCCAGCTGACGCCCGGCAACCAGGACGCCAGGCCGCTGCTCAAAGAGCTCAAGAAGGACAAAGAGTTCTTCATCCTCTTCGACTGCTCCTACAGCATGGCCTCGGAACTACTCAAACAGGTTTTCTCATAACACTTTGTATATGTGCTGTACTTACACACATCCATCAATCCGCCCATTTTCCGACCCGCTTATATCAGCCACTTCAATAACCGACCATGCGGGATTTTTGGGGTAATGACAGGAGAAAACCCATGCTGATATGTGTATATAAACATGTTTTTATTTTATTTTTGTTGGGATGTTATAGCTCTCATCCATGGGAATGATGACAGAGTACTACCACTTCTTCTTCACGACTTTGGTGAGTCACAGCACGGAGCATGGATTTAAAATATTTGCATACAAGCATGGAAGGAGGCCAGATGCATGCAGGAAAGCTCAATAATTACTGAGCCACCTAATAAAAGTAACTAACTAGAAAATACTGCATTTGCAACGGAGCTAAGTAAGTAACTGATTGACTCTCCAGTCCCTGACCTAGCTACATAACTAACAAAGGAGCCAGCAAGATAACTAACTAGCTAACTGATGCTAATGCCACTTCCTGCTTGGCGTAGGACTTGTTTGCTTTGGACCTGGAGCCGTACCGTTACAGCGGAGTCAACATGACGGGCTTTAGGCTGCTCAACATTGACGACCCCCGGGTGGCCTCCACCTTGGACAAGTGGGCCATGGAGAGGCTACAGGGGCCCAAGCAAGATGGTGGACTCATGGACGGCGTCATGACTGTAATAAAATACACTAGACTTGAACACACTCTGCTCGACCTTGTTACGAAGGTGGGTAGGTAGTTAATAGGTAGGCAGGTCGTTGAAAAGGTACCCGCGGCAGAAGTGGAAAGGTAGAGTGATGGTAGCTGATCGACAGCGCGCAATGATTTCATCACTAAATATTTGTAACCCTGTTTCCATATGTTCCTGTCACAGACTGACGCAGCTCTGATGTACGACGCCGTGTTCCTGGTGTCTGTGGCGTCTCAGCGTGCTACTCAGATGACCGTCAGCTCTCTGCAGTGTCACAGACACAAGCCCTGGCGCTTTGGACCTCGATACATGAACCTCTTTAAGGAGGTACGGAACTCAGGAGAAGACATTTTCACTCACTTTGACAACTGGATAGAGTTTTAACAACTAGACATGTGGAAACAACTAAATGACTGCCTGACTAACCAACTAACTAACTAATTTATCAATCCAACTCCTTAGCAACGAACACACTGTTTAGCAAGCTAACTGACAACATTCCACGCTAGCTACCTACTTAGCTATCCAGATAGCTAGCTAGCTCACTAAGTTACTAACTCACTAACCCACTCAGGGACTATTTTAACTTTGATACATGTGTTAAAAAAAAAAAAAAAAAGTAAACCGCTCTTGTGTTTCATGTCACAGGCGCAGTGGGATGGCCTGACGGGCCACATTGTCCTCAACAAGAGCGACGGCCTGAGGCGGGAGTTTGACTTGGACATCATCAGCCTAAAAGAAGACGGCAGCACCAGGGTGAGTGAGTGAGTCCACCTGCTCCCATGATGCCTTGCACCTTGTTAGCACTGTAACGCTCACTCACACTTCCCCTTGTCCGCTCAGGGTGTCGTGGAGGGTGTAAATCGCCTCACCAAAAGGTGGATCAAGGTTTGTTTTGACTTGGCATGATTTGTGAAAGAGTCTCTTCCAAACTGCCGTTGTTTTGCCGCGGGGGTTTCCTGGCGCAAAGCGGCATTTGTACTTTTGACATTTGTGCAATCGCTACCTGATACAAGCGAAACTCTTTTGTTTGCGTGGAATAATCTAGCGCGTCAAGTGTGACTTGATGACATGTCAAGTGTGCTTGTTTAACGTACTTAGCGTTTATCGCATCAGTGACTTTGCTCTTTAGCAGCTGAGGGGGGGAAAGAGAGGTGGGGGGGGCGCTCGGGCTCCAGCTGTCATATGCTTGATCCCATCTGTGCTTGTGTTTTTGTGTGTGTGTGTGTGTGTGTGTGTGTGTGTGTATTACTGCTAGCATACGCTCACATTCTCGTATGTGGATGGCATACGCGCAATGTACATTGAATTAATGCGCTGACTCCTCTTGCCAGTTATTCACACTACCAACCAGCACGATAAAAATAAACACAACTCGGACTAATCCACAGAGTAAAAAAAAAAAAAATCAGTAGATTTAAAAAAAAGAAAAATGTTGAAGGAAACACAGGTATGGTCGGCCCCTTTGTGGTCAGATCTACTTGAAGCCATTGTCGCGCAATTACATCATCAAGATAGGCTCGAATCAATACCATCACCCAAATTTATACCATCTACCGCAGATTCTGTGCTCCTCTCGGCAGTTATTTATCTTCACGTCACCTTGCAGGGAATAAACAAGTCAAGTGTGATTGATCCAAATGAATTCCGCATCTCTTCCCTCCAGATCGCCACATGGAACTCGATCAAAGGAATGAACCTGATCGAGAAGTCAACACCGAACAGCAACAACGTCACCGACTCGCTGGCCAACAGGACGCTGATCGTCACCACCATTTTGGTGAGGGAGAAGACCGGGATGGAAATGCCAAGGAGGAGAGGACGAAACGTGACACGTTTGCTTTTTTAGGAGAACCCGTACGTGATGTACAAGAAGCCCGACAAGGACCTGGTCGGGAACGACCGCTTTGAGGGTTACTGCCTGGACCTCCTCAAGGAGCTCTCCAACATCCTGGGCTTCACCTACGAGGTCCGGCTGGTAGCCGACGGCAAGTACGGAGCCCAGAACGACAAGGGCGAGTGGAACGGGATGGTGCGAGAGCTCATCGACCACGTGAGGACGCGGCCGAGATTTTGACGTGATAAATGTGATGATGGCTCTGCATGTTGCGACTGCGAGACAAAAGCCATTCGAGCCCGCCTGCCTCCGTAGGTGGCCGACCTGGCGGTGGCGCCGCTGACCATCACGTACGTGCGCGAGAAGGTCATCGACTTCTCCAAACCCTTCATGACGCTGGGCATCAGCATCCTCTACCGCAAGCCCAACGGCACCAACCCGGGCGTCTTCTCCTTCCTCAACCCGCTGTCGCCCGACATCTGGATGTACGTCCTGCTGGCCTGCACCGGCGTCAGCTGCGTACTCTTTGTCATCGCCAGGTAATAATCGCATCGCCTGACACGAACTGGTCCCGCGCTCCGCTTACCGCTTTTGTCCTTCTCATGTCAGGTTTACCCCCTACGAGTGGTACAACCCCCATCCGTGCAACCCGTCGTCCACACTGATCCAGAACAATTTCACCTTGCTCAACAGCTTCTGGTTTGGTGTCGGCGCGCTCATGCGGCAAGGTGAACAAAGAGCAAAAGTAGCTCATGGAAACTTTGGCGCGAGTTGAAAGTAGCTAACTAGCCAATTTGTAGCATTTGGGTTAGCGTTAGCAGCGTTTAAGGTACGCTTAGTAGCAGTAGTCGTAGTTTGTACTGTTCCGATTAGGGTTGTAACATGTGCTTTGTCAGGTTAGTAGCAAATAGATTAAGTTTATTTAAGTTAGTAGCGTTTAATGAAGCTTAGTAGCATTTGGGTTTGTGTTAGCATGTAGGATAGGGTTACTCCGGTTACAGTACTAGCATTTACTGTTCGTACGGGTTCGCCGCCTTATGGTTATGGTTCGTCGAATTTAGGTTTGGATTAATCGCGGTCAAGTTTGGCTTGGTCGGAAAAAAAAGTCGCTTTAGGTATAGTCATTAGCATTTAGGTTAGAGCTAGTAGGATTTAAGCTAGGGTTAGTACTGTTTAAGTTATGGTTGGTAATCTATCGGTTATTGGTTGGTAGCCTTTAGGTTGGCGTTCGTACTGTTTAGATTGATGGTGAGTCACCTTTCGGTTGTGGTTAGTGGCCTTTAGATTGGTGTTAGTATTGTTCCGGTATTGATTAACCAACCACATGTAGTCTAGATGTGAGGCGTCATAGTTGTAGTCGTATCGTACTCTTGTTGTTTCAGGCTCCGAGTTGATGCCCAAGGCGTTGTCCACGCGCATCGTGGGCGGCATCTGGTGGTTCTTCACCCTGATCATCATCTCCTCCTACACGGCCAACCTGGCCGCCTTCCTGACCGTGGAGCGCATGGACGCGCCCATCGACTCAGCCGACGACCTGGCCAAGCAGACCAGGATCGAGTACGGCGCTGTGAGGGACGGCTCCACCATGACCTTCTTCAAGGTTTCTTTATTTTTACCAGTGACACTCTGACATCTTGCAAGTTTAGTTTGTTACTTATTATTAGCATTTAGCTCCGGATAAGCTGAGTTCAGGTGATGTCATGTGATATATTTTTTTTCCGTCTTCACGTCCTCGCTGGTCCAGCGCGAATGATTCGCGCTGGGCTTTAGCCTGACGAATTACAAGCAGCCGGATAAGACGCCGCGGCCCGTGTTGACGACTTGAACAAATTGAATCAGCCGGATGAGATTTAGAGCACAGCTGCCCCATTTTGTCTTTGCACACACACACACACACACACACACACACACACACACACACATACACACGGTAGCGCGTGCGCTTATGTGTTTCTGTGCCACAGAAATCCAAGATTTCCACCTATGAGAAGATGTGGGCCTTCATGAGCAGCAGGAAGAACACGGCGCTGGTGAAGAACAACCGGGAGGGCATCACGCGCGTCCTCACCACCGACTACGCCATGCTGATGGAGTCCACCAGCATCGAGTACATCAGCCAGAGGAACTGCAACCTGACGCAAATCGGAGGACTCATCGACTCCAAGGGATACGGAGTGGGAACGCCCATCGGTGAGGAAACACCAGGAGGGTTTGGAAAATTCTGTCGCGCTTAGCAAACGTGAAACTTAATATGCGCGTCTATCAAGAGGAGACCCACCAAAAAGTCTCCAGGAGCCATGCCCGAAAAGACTCGGGAAGTCGGCCATCTTTGGTTTGAAATGGCCATTTGAAGCGCATTTTCACCATTCAGTGACTAAAAAAAATCTAGGCCGAGTGCCTGCAAAATTTATACTGAGACATATAGACGCAGCAAAATTGCGAATTTAAATTTGGTAATTTGATGTAAGATAAGCACGGCGGCCAATTTTGATCACTTGCCGTAAAACCTGTACATTTTTTGTTGTTGTTGTAAATTCAGCCCCCTGAAACCATTTTAACCTAACAACGAAAAATTTGGTCGGCATGTCTTTCATGAGAAGACTCACCAAAAAAAGTCTCAAAAAGCTACCCCCGTAAACACACAGGAAATGTTTCAGTTTGGTTATTTGATTATAAAACGCGGCGTCATTCAAAAGACAAGCTAATAGTTTCATGGTAAATAGTCAACAAATGATGATCCCAATCAATCCTGCTGTTCAACCTACAAAGCCATGGACCAATTGTGCTACTTTCCTATTTAAGGCTTGGATGCCATCTATTCTCTCAAAATGGATTATTATTATTATTATTGTCTTCAAAGGTGTCCTTTTTTTTCTCTCTATCTTTTGCTTCATTCCTGCAGGCTCTCCATACCGAGACAAGGTGACCATCGCCATCCTTCAGCTGCAGGAGGAGGGCAAGCTGCACATGATGAAGGAGAAGTGGTGGCGAGGGAACGGCTGCCCCGAGGAGGACAACAAGGAGGCCAACGCCTTGGGCGTGGAGAACATCGGCGGCATCTTCATCGTGCTCGCCGCCGGCCTGGTCCTGTCCGTCTTCGTGGCCATCGGCGAGTTCATCTACAAAGCCCGCCGCAACGCCGACATCGAGGAGGTGAGCCGGGCGAGGCGCTCCTCCCGCGGGGCCCAGACGGGAAAGCCTTTTGTTTAACGGCGTATTTTCTCGGTCTCGTCTCTGTCTCTTTGCCCACCGGTCACCGCGTCAGGCCTTCTGTTTCTTTTACGGCGTGCAGTCCCGCCAGTTTCAACGGCGCGGCTCCACCTCCTCCTCGGGCACATCGTTGTCCACCGACCTGGAGAGCGGCAGGCTGCTCGGCGATGACATCGAGTGACCGCGGCAACTTGTTGTAAATAAGAGGTTTGTAATCGCTGACGGCAAGCGTGCTCGTCTTTGGATCCGATTCGTTGTCCATCGCACTGGGCATCGTCTTGTGTCTTTTCGGGCATGATTTCCGGAGACAATTTTTTGTGGGTCTCCTCATGATCGACCTGCTGCCCAAATGTTCATGTTGCTGAGTGAAACTGTTCTAGGGGGGCCGAATTTTCCCTCAAAAATCAGCTTTGCCGGATTGCTGTTGTTTCCTCACCTTTTGGCATAGTTCTTGTGTTTTGGGGCGAGTTGTCAGACTTTGCCACCATCCTCTTGATGAGTTTGCGTACAAAGGAAGGACACCGGTTATATTGACTCAAATGTCCTTGTGTCTTTCAGTGTGTCTTTCTGGACCTTGATGGACAAAACGGCTCCCCGCCTGCAGTGATGCCTCGTGTCAGCCTGACATGGAGAACTCTTGAGACTCCAAACCAAAAAAAAAAAAAAAAAAAGAAAGAAT